TACACAATATTAAAGTTGAATTAGAAGAGAAAATTAAGAATGAATGAAAAACATAAGTAACGAAAGACAAGACACCGATCTATAAACTGAATTAAATTTGTATTATTCATGATAAAACATGTATTATATGTGTCTTATAAATTATTTTGGATTTGTATCACTAAGAACGTAAGTGATGTTTGCAATATGTATTAAAGATGTATTGTGCATATATTATAAGTGTGTTACCTAAATTGTTTTAGTTGATATCATTAAAAAGGGAGTGAAATTTGCAATATGTATTATAAATGTAGGATGTATTGTTCATGATTTTTATACAATTTTAATACAATTATGAAACATATCTAATACAACTTTAATACAAACCCGATATAGTTCCATAAACTTCATCCTTTTCGTGCTTCAATCTAGTATTTCTCCTAAAATCAATTCTAAACTTAACCAAACCCTCTTAAAATTGAGATATAAACTCCAAAAGATATTTTCAATTATTTGTAGGAACAACCTATCCAAACTAATATCAAACACTCTTTAAATTGAGATATAAACTCCAAAAGATATTTTCAATTATTTGTAGGAACAACCTATCCAAACTAATCGCAAACGAAAGAGCAGACAAGTAATCTAATCATAACAAATGAAGAAACATAATAAACTGCCGAATGAATTAAAGTTAGAATTAAAAATGTATTATACACATATTAAAGTTGAATTAGAAGCGAATTAAACATGAATGCAAAATGTAGCAAACTAAAGAGCATTATTTGATTTGTAAACTAAATAAACTTGTATCAATAATGAAATAATAAAGTAATTCAATCATAACAAATCAACCAATAAACAACAAATGAATTAGCTTGTATTAAAAGTGTATTACACAAATATTAAAATTGAATTAGAAGAGAGAATTAAGCACGAATAAAAAATGTAACTAATGAAAGAGCAGCCAATGATCTACAAAGTGAATTAAACTTATATAAAAAAAAAAGAATTAAACAAGTAATCTAATAGTAACAAATAATAAACTACAAAATGAATTAAATTTACATTAAAAGTGTATTACACAATATTAAAGTTGAATTAGAAGAGAGAATTAAGAATAAATGAAAAATGTAACTAACGAAAGACAAGACAATAATCTATAGACTAAATTAAACTTGTATTATTCATGAATAAAACATGTATTATATATATGTGTTATAAATTATTTTGGTTTGTATCACTAAGAACATGAGTGATGTTTGCAATATATATTAAAAATGTAGTGTGCATGTATTATAAATGTATTATTAAGTGTGTTACCTAAATCATTTGGTTGGTATCACTAAGAAGAGAGTAAAGTTTGCAATATGTATTATAAATGTACTGTTCATGATTTTAATACAATTATAAAAACATATCTAATTCAACTTTAATACAATTGCGATATAGTTCCATAAACTTTACCTTTTTTGAGTTTCTATCTTATATTTCTCCTAAAATCAATTATAAACTTAACTGAACCCTCTTAAAATTGAGATATAAACTTTAAATTGCATTTTCAATTATTTGTAGGATCAACCTATCCAAACTAATCTAGTTCGTAAGATTCATAAAATGAATTCAAAATTTGAAGTTTTATAGTGACCATCAATGGTGAATTCTTGTTGTTGTAATTTTAGAGATTTGAAATTTTTGTTTGAGAATATGATATTGTTAAAAAAAATATTATTTTTTTATTTCTCTTCTCGTCGTGTTTTTGGATAAAAATAGTGAAATATGGATAAAAATTGATTTGAGAATAATTATTTAAATGAAAATTTTAAAAGAAGAAGAAGAATAAAAAAAGAAGAGGAGGAAGAGAGAATAACACAGAAAGAGACGAAAAGAAGAAAAATAAAAAGAAGAAGATGAGGAAGAGAAAAAGGATAGAGAAGGAGGCGAAGCAGTACAATTTTTTAATCCAAAAAATTGTTATATTAAGTTAGAAAAATTATATTGTCATAGATGGTAAATATTTTCTTAATATAGCATATTTATGTGATTTGCCCTAAAAAAAATTGCATGCTTTTGTCTCCGCTCAATGTATTATGAGCAATCAAATTAAGTAATAAAATTATCGGAATATTTTTATCATTAAAGAGTATTTAATTTGATTAAATTATTCTTATCTCTTTTTAAACGAGTTCGGAGGAGAATAACCATTCAATTTTTTGTGACCAAACAAAATTTGAAAAAGAAATACATACGGAGAGAAATAATCAATCAATCAAGAACATGAAACCATTTTATTTCAAATAAGGTATGAACAAGTCGCAAACACCTTTGAGTTATGATTTCAATATATGGCAAAAGGTTACGTCACTGATGGTAATGGGTGGTGATTGTGGATAAAGTAATGATGATAAATAGAGTGGTAGTTGGTGATTGTGGACATAATAAGAAAACCGATATTAGATAAGTATTTATTATGAACTGAGCGGAATTTCAAAGAGGAGATGGGATAGCTCGCAAAGGATGAGCTTTGGCTATGATGGCACCAAATTTCTCCTCCATGTCTAAGTCTTTTGGCTCAATGCATGCCTCAAGTTTCCAATTGAATGAATTCAACATCGAGCCCAATATTACTGGCATCAATCTCAATGCCAATGGAAATCCAGGGCATGTTCTTCGGCCAGCACCAAATGGAATCAATTCAAAATCTTTACCACGCATATTCAATTCTAAACTCTGGAATCTCTCAGGTTTAAACACTAAAGTGTCTTCCCAAAAAGAAGAATCACGGCCAATAGCCCACGCATTGACTAGTACTATTGAACCCTTTGGAATGATATAATCACACAATTCAACATCTTGGTCCACCCTGCGGGGGATTAAGAATGGAGCTGGTGGGTGAAGTCTTAATGTTTCTTTGATGATAAATTGCAAATAAGGGAGTCTGGATACATCAGCTTCTTCTATTGGTTTTCCTTTTCCAACGACTTGTGCAAGCTCAGCTTGGACTTTCTTCATAATCTCTGGTTGTCTAAGTATTTCTGCCATTGCCCATTCTACCGTGTTTGTAATTGTATCAATACTACCAATAAATAAGTCCTGTAAAATTTTGTAATTCTGTCAAATTAACTTAAAAAAAGTATTTCAACGTAGCACATCATGCATCAAAAGAGAAGAGAACGAACCAGGAGCGTCGAATTCATAAAATTTCTATCCATCTCTTGGGGATTTTCTGCACTGTGGTTGAGAAGAACTTGTAAAATATCACTCTTTTCACTCTGGTTCGTTTTCTTTTCTTCCAACCGCTCATTGATCATATCACCAAAGAGTTTATACAACTTACCAAAATGAATGTTTGTGCGATACCTTATTCTTTGAGGATCAACATTTTCAAGTATAGGGAAAAAATCCACTAGGTTGATCATCCCAGCAACATCAATGATGCTCAAGATCGCGTCCTTCAACTCAACCTTCAAATTTTAAAAAAATTAATTTCTCAGACGGTTACGTTATACTTAAACATTAATCATGTTATTCAATTCTACCTTTGCATCCGAATAAAGATCAACCAAATCCTTGGAGAAAAGGGTATTTGACACTAAATTGAGATTAGTCTTGAAAACAAGTTGACCTACATCCACAGCTTCACCTTGTTGGCTACATTTTTCACAATAATCAATCAATTCTTTCTCCTTTTGAGATCTTAGATGTTGATTTGCATCAAGCCTATTAGTAGAGAGGAGTTTGGTGTTCATGATTTTCCTAAGTGTTCGCCATTGAGGACAAACAGGAAGCCATACAGCAGAGAATTTGCTATAATTGTGTGCTTGAAGGGCATCAGGGATAAATCTAGTGGAAAAGGCTAAGTCATGATTTTTGAGGACTTGTTTTGCCATGGATGATGAAGAAATGACCACTGTTGTTATTTGTCCTAATTTTAAACTCATAATTGGACCATAAATTTTTGCAAGATTGGCTAGTGATGTATGGGGATTTGCACCTAACAAGTGAATATTTCCAATAATTGGCCATGGTGATGGCCCTGGTGGAAGTTTTTTGCTGGATAATTTTGCTAGACTATATACAAAAATCAAAGCAAAAATTGATGCCAACACAAGTATAAAATAATTCATGATGCAAAGCTCTCCCACTCTTTTCCTTCAACTTTGTTAGTCACAAAGTTGATATGTAAGGGAGTTGGACAATACATCTATTTATATATTAGTCCTGGGAACGTGCGTTACACGTTTGTCTCCTAATTGACATTAGAAAAATAAATTTATATAAGTAAATATATCATAGTGAAGCATACATAAATTTATCGCTAAGTTCAAAGTAAAGTCCTTTTATATGTAAGTTTGACATAAGAATATAACTCTGCACAAAATATAGCATGAAAATCTTGTGTTAGATGTTGGAGGTTTGATATTTTTAATGCTTCATGAAAAATAAATCTTTTATTATATTAGAGGAGTTAATATATTTTAATTACTAAACTTAAATTTTAATAATCAAAAAAGAAATTGGCTATAAAAAAGATATGTATAAAGAAAAATATACAAAATGTCTAGATGGTGTAACATCAACTTTATAGAAAAAATTACAAGTTCAAAAGAAAGAAAAGTAATAACGACATGACATCCATAATAAAAGACATCACATTAAAATATGTTGACAAAAATATTGTCATGATTGAATTATATTTTGTTAGAAGGCAACTTGCTATTGCCTATAGACAAAATATTTCATATGTATAAAAAACTAAAATACAAAAAAAAAAAAAAAAAACATAAAAGAAAGCATGACATGTTAAAAATACAAATACACTATATTTCTTGAACTCATATTAAAGGATCTATATATAAAAAATTTAAAAACGAATTCTAATACAATAAAATTCAATGTAACATTTGCACTAGTTTTTACTTTACATTATTTTTATTTTATTTTAATTTGTGCACTAATTTTTGTACCTCTCTATAGTACGTAGTTAAGTATAGGAATTTTCTAAACATTTGAGATTACATATAAAAATGAAAAAGTACAAACATGTTGCTTTAAAAAGATAAATGATTATCAAACAACGAAGATGACATAACTATAAATGTTTATCAAATACTTACTCTTTAACAGGTCTAGTTGTAAAAATATTCTGTGAAATTTAACATGCTTACCCTCAAAACAATTCATTATAAATATAAATTGGGATTAGCTTCATTATATTTATATCCTTAAGATAGAAGAAATGATGAATACAAAAATAAAGTAATCAATTACGAAGTTATATTTAAAAACTCAAACAAATGGATATATGAAAAATAAAAAATTTACTTACAACTTCATATTAGAGAATATTCATCTTGTAACTATGATAATTTACCTATTTCTCAACAAAAAGAAGATGAATGTGCATGAAATTTTAAAGAATACAAATAAATGAAGGAAAAATTACTTAACTACACACCATTTATTATCATATTTTCTTATTTTCCCTACCATTTCAGAAAATATCAAAAATCGCTTCTTTTTCTCCCATCATCCCCTTTTCCAGATATATTAATTTGAAATCTCATACCCATGATTTTCCTTCCTCTTTTCACGCCACAAATCTCTCCATAATTACATCAATTAATCTATTTTTGAATTTCAAATCTTTTCTATTTCCAATTAATGATTTCAAAGCTTTTCTATTTCCAATTAATGATTTCAAATTATTCAAGAGGCAGATTTCTTTATATCACTTCAATTTCTGATTTCTTTTATTATTATTTTTTATTTTTTTCATCTTAAAAAATAATAATAAAATTACATATGCCCCTGCCCCCATTGAAATCTTATTGAACCTTTGCAATTTTAGTTAATCATATCGTCGTTGAAAATTTTTCTTGAAAAATATTTATTTTTCTTTTAATGTATCTACTGTTTAAAAACGTCCAAAAAAAGGAAGAAAAAAGTTGGATTTGTCACTGCACGACCATCACTATCAAAGATTCAAAATTTTAAAGTATCTCGTTTAATTTGAGTCTTAAATTAGTCTTTGTTAGTCTTATCATTGATCTGATACATCACTGCTACAATAACCTTTGTTTTATTGAATGTATCATGTTCATATTTAAGGTATTGATACATATAACTCTAATGTTGTTGACTCTTCGATTAGTGTATATCTGTTCAATATAAATGTGTTATGTATCACACACACAAAAAGGAAGCTAATTTTGAACAATTACATGTATAATGTATTTTTTAATTTTAAATTATAGTATTTCTCAAACAAAATAAGAGACATAAATAATAATGTATCATGTACTAATTTTTTAGTTATGATACGTAAATTCGAATTTATACTAAATGTATATGATACATAACAATTACCAAACAATAATGTATCGATCTCAAACCTAAAATCTTATGGGAAACACTTTCTTATTTAATGTATCTAGCAGAAATACAACACTTATTAATTTAAATTGAAAGGATCTTCATGATGTATCTCCTCAAAATTTTCGATAATTTTGAATCAAAATTGAAAGGATCTTCAATGAACTGGGAGAAGAATGTTGAATCTCAAAATTTTCGATAATCTTGAATCAAAATCGAAAGGATATTCGATTAACTTGAAGATTCACATTCACAAAAGAAATCATTTGTCCAACAACAATTTCATCACTTTTGTATCCTTCATAACTCACATCGCTTATCCAAAATTTTGACAAAAGTTTTTATGAAACAGAGAGAACGATGAACAAGAAGAAGAAATTTATTTTTTGAATTTTTTGGTTAATTACACTATATGATTAAATTCTTGACAATAATTTGGAATGGAATTGCGCAATTTATGGGATCTTAATTTGATTTTCAGTTTTATTTTTCCCTTAATTAGTGCAACAGATGGATATTATGAGATCTTAATATGATTTTTCAGCTTTTTTTTTTCCTTAATAAGTGCAATAGATTGATACATAATGTATCAACAATATTGTATCCGGATCCTTAATTATGTATCCGAAATGTCTTAAAAATATGGAATTTGTGCAATTAGAAAAATAATAGGGATAAAAGGTAATTTAGGTTTTACACTATGGGATTTATGTAAGTTATACATAAAAGAATCAATACAAATTCTTACAATTTCAAATTGGTAATAAAAATTTTACAAATGATGAAGACTAACCTAATGTAGAATGCAAGATAATCACAAATTTGGATGAAAAAAGGGAATATAAATAATGTTGTGTGAGTGTCTTTTGATAAACTCTTCATTACCCCCACTTATTTTATAAATTAAAATTGAAGGTGATTAGACTCTTCATTACCCACATTTAGTACATGAATATATGATTGCATTAAGATCTTGTTTGATGCAAGAATTTAAATATAACTATTACTTTATATTTAATTGATTAAATAGATATAAATATTTAATTTATTTTAGGAGTAAGATAAGGGCAAAATAGTAATCCAACTTTGGGGTTATGAGATTCTCACTTATAATAATAACAATATTAATAATAAATAATAATTAAAAAAATAATAGTAATAATAAAAAATAAAAAAAAAATAAAAAAATAAAAAATAAATAAATATATATATATATATATAAATTAGTCTCTGAAAATGTGTGTGGCACATTTATCTCTTATTATTTGAAAAAAAAAAGGCTCAAATATATCAGGGATTGTGGATCATTGTACAGCCTGTAGAAGTTGCAATCGACTCGTGGTCTTTGAACAATTTTGAGAAAAGGCTCATCTATGTGATTCATTATAAGTTTGGCTGATCTATGTCATTTCCGTTTGAGAAAAGGTTCTCCCCTGCCATATCTTTTTAACTAAAAACAATTCCGATTTTGCAAAATTACTTTTTACACGTTATCAATTATGATTCGACCACGTGATAGTTTTCACTATTTTTCTTTGTGAAATCATAAATATAACTTTGTAAGTAGTGCAATTTTTCTCCTAAAAATCAACTTCATTAAAAGGAAATGACAAATATAGAAAAAAATTCAAACATTCATATTGAACTTTGAACAATTCAATTATTTTAAATAATGAAAACAGGCCTAAAAATTCCGTTGATATAAAATAGAGGGAGTACCCTTCAATTGTTAAAACGTATAGCACAAGTGATATTGTAATTAATAGAAGGTTGCACATGAAATTTAAAACAAATAAATACCGTATTTATTGTTTAAAACACATGACTTTTGAGCTTAGAGAAATAAAGAAAATATAGTAAAAAAATATATATAAATGTGTTTCTTAATCTTAAAAGTGACATTGATTTTTAAAATAACAGATAAATAAAAGAAAAATAACAATAAAACAGAGAAAAAAAAATTAAGTTTGAGCAAAATAGAATTTAATGCAAATGATTTTTTTTGGTACAGACATATATAAATATCATTTTATTGCTCTATTCTCATTGAGTGATGCAGATCATCTTTGGAAATTGGAATGGGAAACACTCAAGCACATTTAATACTATAATTAAAGTATTTAAATAATTTAACTTTTGATTTCTTTACCTAGCATATTACTCCTAAGCATAATACATATTGTATATTCACGATAAGTATTAAGCAAAAAGGTAACTCCAAAAAATTGAAAAGACTACTACAAATTTAGTTTCTCATCTAACAATTCATTATAAAATATTTTATGGTCTAAATATTTATTGCAATATAAATTTACATTTTAGTACATAAAATATTATAGAAATAGTTTTAGATTAAAGAGTAAAATGGTATTCCAACTTTGTACTTTGGAACTTTTCATATTTATTATTAATAATAATATTATTATTATTATTATTATTATTATTATTATTATTATTATTATTATTATTATTATTATTATTATTATTATTATTATTATTATTATTATTATTATTATTATTATTATTATTATTATTATTATTATTATTATTATTATTATTATTATTATTATTATTATTATTATTATTATTATTATTATTATTATTATTATTATTATTATTATTATTATTATTATTATTATTATTATTATTATTATTATTATTATTATTATTATTATTATTATTATTATTATTATTATTATTATTATTATTATTATTATTATTATTATTATTATTATTATTATTATTATTATTATTATTATTATTATTATTATTATTATTATTATTATT